ATTCAAAGTTTACAGCTGTCAAGTGTGATGATCTCTGGTGACTAGTGAGGCAAATGCTGCATCAGGGCAGCATCTCACCGGTTTCCTACAGAGAGCACAAATGTGGAGGGCTGTGGTGTTGCTCTCATTAAGCCCATTAATGCTGAAATGCCAATTGCTTATTGGGGACCTGTGGTGCTGCATGCAGCAGCTTTTCACTGAAGTACACTCAGAATTAAACAGAGGAAATTGCCAAAAAAAATCAAGAATTTTCCCCCTGTATGGGTCCATTATGGACAGAGCGCTGCTGGTCTTGATGAGCACCTGATTCTGTTGTTTTCCTGGTGTATTTTTTAAAGCATTTGGGAGAGCTGGATAAGAGCTTAAACAATGGCATGAGGTTTGTGTATGTTTGGACAGAATATCTTGAATGTTGTCTGTGTTTAGAGAACCACTGGAATCCTTCTATGCTGGGAGTAGTGATATTGGGTTAATCTGGAGATTTTATATTTGTAGCTCTTGAAACTAAATGTCTCACGATTAAAGAACCTCACAGATGCAAGCCAAATGGATCTAGTCAATGAAGATAATTTTGGTTTGAATGTAAATGGCAGTGTGGGTTTAAAATAAGATTTCCATATGAGGCACTTTCTAAGCAATGGTTCTTGATCAGATTTTTGTTTTTAATTGCTCCTTCATTTTAAATAGCAAAATGCTTTAAGAGGTCTTGTAATGGCCAGATGTAGTGTTTTGGCACTGAGGTCTAAACAAGTGAGATTTCTGCACTGTCTTTTCCTCCCGTGGGCTTTCTTTGGCAGAAGGTTTACTCCTGAGCTGTGGGCTGTGTGCCCTGGAGCGAAGCAAGCAAGCCAGCCTGCTGTGCTGGCCCTTGTTGGCTGGCACGGGCTTATGGGTGTCCTTGGGGAAGAGATTGCTACCAGATATGCAGATTCAAGTTACATGGGTGCTTTGCTTCTCTCTTTGGGAAAAATTTCTTGCACAGCCTATGAAAACGGTCCTTTTCCTTTCCCTCCAGAACTGGAACCCAGAAGCAACTTACTCTCCTAGAAAAGGGCAAAGGGTCTTCTCCTTCAGTGCTAAAGGGATTCCCATAAAATAAAATAATACAGTTTCTATTTATTTGATTGACTTAGCAAATCTTCCACTGCATGCCAGCAGGAATTACGTTCTCCTGCTTAAGGCCCAGCTGCTACTTCGTAGCTGGACAGAACAGCATGCCTGGGGTCCTGAAAACAGCAGTGAGCAGTGGTCTCCTTTCTCTCTTTGGCCTGTTTTTTTGGAAAGCGTTTGACTGCTCCTACTGCTGCAGTTCTCATGGAACTCCTCATGGCTTCTGTGAATCAACAGGGAGCTCCTGGACTTAAGCTCAAAAAGAAAGTCTGTAGGGAGTGGAATCGGGAACAGGTTACCAGGGGTCACTACAGAGAAGTTGTCCAAGGAGGGATCGGGTTGGGAAGGCTAAAACCCATACAGAATTAAATCTAGCCAGGGACACAAAAAGGAACAAGGAGAAAAGCTACAGGGCAAGTGGCAACAGGATGAGGAAATGGTTTTAAACTGGTAGATTTAGACTAGATATGAGGAAGAAATTTGTTTACTGTGAGGATAGTGAGACAGTGCAACAGGCTGCCCAGAAGTTGTGTATGCTTCCTCTCTGGAAGCATTCAAGGCCAGGCTGGATGGGGCTGTGAGCAATCTGTCTGTGGGAGGTGTCCCTGCCTATAGCTGGGGTTGGAACTAGATGGTCTTACAGGTCCTTTCCAACCCAAACCATTCTATGATTCTATGATTTATTACTTTATTCCAACCTCATGCTTTATATTAAGGTTGAAAGCTGCCTTCTGGAAAGGTCTCTGCAAGTAAGAGAAAACTGGGTCCTGTTTCCTGAAAATAAAAGTGATTTCTGGATGGTATCACATAGCAAAGCCTACATTTGAGAATTCTATGCATTAGCAAATACAACGTGCAGCAGAGACTTCCAAAAGTTGTGCTTGTAAGTTGTAGGAAAAAAAATTGAACATGACCCATTAGTCTGTGTACTTTGGGGAGATGGCACTGGACAAAGTGTTTCCACTCCAATTTTCAGTGTGCTACAGCTATATGGTATGGAGTTGAGGTTGGGACCATGTTAGCAACAGCAGGCCTTTACAGTCAATGATATCCAATACTTGGCTTTAGAAGGATCCATCTGAGCTCATTGGTAGCACTGAAAGAGCATTTGAGGTCTTGAACTCTGCCTTTAGAGAGAGCTGTATCGTATGAGCGAATACTTGTTTTAAGCTGATGTTCTGTATGCTGCCTGTTGTATTTGTATAGACGAGCAAAGGATGGCAGGTGTGCGTTAGACAGCATGCATTACAACTGAAATTGGTTTTATCTGTATCACAATATAAGAATTAAAGCAACAGGTTGCTGAGAAAGCTAGATTTTTTTCCTACTCTTTTTTCTGCCTTGGGTCTCCTTAACAAATCTGAGTTGATTTCTCTGATATGCTCTGGGTATAGCATGTCTTCCTGGTGATATCCTGGTGTACTGTATTGCTTAGCAATTGAAGTGCTTGCTTGCTCTGCTTATTCACTTATTTTCATATCTGTTCCCAGTGCATGCAGCGAAAGGAGATGCTTGCTTCTGAGAAGGGAAGCAACTTACTGTGTGATGGGGGTGTTCTTTCTCTCTCTGTAGGAGGAAGAGGAGGGCTCTGAGGAGGACAGCAATGTGAAACCAGACTTCACAATCACTATGAAAACAGATTTCAACGTGCGTAGCTTCTTGGATCAACTAGAAGATGATGCCGACGGCTTTGTTTCCCCGGTGGATGATAAGATACCATCAAGGAGCAACCAGGATATGGGGCTTTCAAATCTTCATGAAGCATCCATGTATGTTGTCCAAATTTTTTTGCACTTCATTTTGAAATGCAGTAGACCCCTATATGAAAGGGTTTGGGAGAAAACTACCCTGTCCTCATAGTGATATCTGACTTTTATCATCTTAGGAATGTTGGGCTAAATAGAACCTCCACTTCAGCTACTATCATTGCTGAACTTTTATCATTGGAACAATTCCTTTACTTTACAAGGCTTTCCTATTTTCGGAAACATCAAGTTGAACTCCTTTTTCTAGTTTTAAGCACCTAGATCTACTGCATACACACACAGATGGTAGCCCTAACTCATGGCTGTCAAACCTCAATCCCATAGAAGTCACCAAAACCAGGTCTATCTTCAGCAAGTAAGTTTCATTGAAGTTAGTGATGAATTGTGAAATGCACACTTGACTTAAGCCTACGTGCAGTTTTTTTTCTTGAAGTAAATTCAGAGACCTTCTTATTGCAATTAACACCAGATTCCCAGGGCTGCTTACGGAGCAGCTCAGTTACTTGGCATCCATACAACACTGAATTTGCACATTTACTGTATGTTTCCAGTTATAATTGTGTTCATAAGTATAATCATGTCTGTATTTAAACACAACAGGCCTGAACTGTTAGAGCAGCTGCAAGAAGTCAGGGAAGAGAAAAAGCGGATCCGAAAAAAACTGAGAGACTTTGAAGATAATTTTTTCCGACAAAATGGGAGGTAATTTCTCAGCTATTCCTCTGTCTTTCAGCTGTTCTTAATCAATTTGGCATCTACAAAGCCTCCAATTATGGAAAGTTACCTGAATTCACTACTGTATATTTCGTTGTCATCATTATATACTTACATTCATTACAGTTGCCCATTAAAATGAATGGCCTTTTTTTCTTCTCCAAATATCTTTAGGAACCACAACCTCTTTGATAACTTTAAAAAGCAGTATAAGTACAGAAAATCCAGCTGCATCCAGCAAAACTAGTAAGAATGATGGAACATTTCCTTAGGGATAGAAGAATTGGTCTTTGTCCCCAGTGACCTTGTATGCTTCTCTGTCCTGATTTTGCATGTCTGTGAGGTATTCAGGCATGAGTTTAACAAGTACTTTTGCTGTAGTATAGCTGGGTATGTAAGAATCAAAAAAGTTCTTCATATATGAGCTGATAGAGTGCTTTAATATTTTTATTCTCCTGAAATTAGCTTCTTGCCACTACCGTAAACTTTAAATGTTTTTATAAAATCACAGAAAACTTGAATCTCACTTATGCTGAGATGAAATATCTTACTTCTTTTGAAGGAAATGGTTCTTCTGATTGTTTTGATGGGTTTGCTGGGGTTTCTTTGGGTTGGTTGAGTGGTGGGTTTTTTGGTTTTTTTTCATGCCAAGGATGACAATTTCAGCAAAGCAGGAGCCTCAGATAAGTTTCTGCATTTGGAAGCATGGGATTCTGTTAAGCTTCAATATTATGTACTGTCTGCTTCATTAGATCATTTGCTTGCATTTCTCTTTTTCTAAGTATAAAAGTTATTTAGTTTTATTCCCTGCTGGGTAATAGAAGAGGGGAAATATTTTGTTAGTCTGAACCTGGGGATAGAGGAAGGCTACTGAAGTAAGATCTACTGGTAGAGAAATCTTCATGGCTTCTTTTACTCTCATTAGGAATGTGCAAAAAGAAGACCGTACTCCTATGGCTGAAGAATACAATGAATACAAGCAGATTAAGGCCAAGCTGAGGCTGCTGGAGGTCCTGATCAGTAAAAGAGATATTAGCTCCAAGATGATGTAAAGGAGGAGAGTGGTTTTACCAATACACTAAGAAGAGAGAGCACCAAGCGGACAAGTGCGTGAAGTGGATGCATCGAGAGCCTGGCTGGGAGGGCTGAGGAGCTCCGTGGGAACTGAAGGGCCATTACCAGAGGCAGGACAGGGAGAAAGGGTGGCTTTCCATCACTCTCTCCATTTGCTGTTGTCCATTCTTTCTCCAGGCCTGATGCCCAAAATGGAGTTTGCCAGTGTCGGAGACATGATGCTGTCCTCAGTGACTGCACTGAAGGGTTCCTTCTGTTTTGATTTGCTTACAGATCCTGTAATATTTAGAATATGAAAGCCAGCCATGCTATTCTTTTTTTTTTTTCTTCTTCTTCTTTTTTTTTTTCCAGGATATCATAGCAAGAGGCAAAGTAGCATGAATAGTGACTAAATCATCAAATAGCTTCCACTTTATTTTACCAGACCTGATCTGATCTCATGTGATGGCACAGGTCAGACAGCACCAAGATTGTTCTCTTATAGCTACAGTAAAGATTTGCTCAGACCTTTGACCAGACTGTTTGGAGTTCAGTGACTTCCATTGCTTTATAACATGTTGGAAGAGTATCCTGGTCATAGCCCAGAACTGGTTTGAGTTACAGTTTTGCACAGGATTCAGTTGGGTTTTCTTCCCACTTTTCTTTTTTGACTGCCAATTCAGTTAAGAAAATACCTACATCTGTTTGGAATAGCGAAGCAAAAGAGTTGGGCAGCAACTGTGCCTGCTTGTTCCCATTGGAAGGCGATGCTGTGAGATTATGACGACATTTGGGCAACTAGGAAGAGGTTTTAACAGCTTTAAGTTAGAATGCCTTGGGAGTTTGGTAGCTGCTCAGCTAAGTGTCAGCTGTCAAGCATCTGGAAGACCCACCACATCAGCCCATACACTTCTGATAATGGGCACAAGAGCTTAAGTTGGAAGTCCACATGGATGTCATGCACACCCATTAGCCTGAGTGTTATTTATGTGTGCCATCAGACAATGTGAGCTGAAGCAGGGATACTTTGTGGCAACAGAGGATGTTCTTTTCTTCCCTGTGGCTTTGTTGGCTGTAGTTTGTATGCTGGGGCAGAGGATACTACAGGGAAGTGAAAGCCTGGAGCCTCGTGCTGTACGTTTCAAGTGCAGCGTTGGGCAGTTAAACATTATCAGATCTGAAAAAGAGTCCTGGGCCACTGGATTCCAGTTCTTGCATTGGACAATCACCACCTGAAGGAGTGAAAGGCAGTAAGTCCAGAATCACAGCAAGCAGTTGACAGTTCTGCAGCCCTGTGCACTCCAGGAGTGCATGCAGGCAGTCATTGCCCTGCAGCCCTCCCCCTGGACCTGGGGCAAGATGCCCTTGTTAATGGGGCTTGGCCCTGGTATCACAAGTAGATGTTGTCTTTTATCTCAGTCCCCTGGGGAGCTGAGTGCAGGAGCCGAACAACTGAGGATGGGTGCAGTGCACCTCATCACAGCCAGGCTTCACACAGGAGCAGAACCCACAGAAGAGCTCCTCACTTCCCTTCTCTCAGCGGGCAGGAGGGCCCATAAAGAGGAGCAGTACGTAAACTCACCCCCCCTCAATGTGCTGTGTTCATTCTTGCCAAAGCTGGTGCTGAGGGCAGGTCTCTTTGGCACCTCGCAGCTACTCGGGAGGCCGCCTTCCTCCCCCTTCCCCAGGGCTCTGCTTTGGCAGTCTGCCTCACAAGAGGCTGATGTGCTTCTGTTAGGAGAGCCTGGGGCTGTTTTCTACTGACAGCAGAACTGCCTGCTCCTATAGAAAAGTAGTGAAGGCTGAATTCCCTGTTTGAAAGGGTCTGTATGATGAACGGGGGTGTGGCTTTTAGGAGGCACTGAGTGTCCATCATGAGGGAGATGTGGGGCTCTGCCTCTGCAGATCTGATATGCTGAGTGTTACCGTTGGGCTTAGAAACTGCATTTGAAAGTGAGTGACAGGAAGGGAAGTTTGGTGTAGTTCCTGCCCTTTTTCCTCCTCATTCACGTTGTAGTGGGCCAACACTTCCCAGGAGTATGATTTCTCTGATTATTTTTAAAAGCCTGTTTGCACTGTGTACCAATAAATGATGTTTGCTGAGTTTTGCCCCTGACAAATCTTGATAAATGATACGTAGGGAACAGTCCATTGCATTGTTTGAACTGATGAGATTGTAGCATTTTCTGATGCTTAGTTACCGCTGTTTACATGGCATACTGCTAGAATTTCAGATAGTTTATATGAAATGTAAGTACAGTTATGCACTTTAGAGAGTTTATATTTTTGAACTTTGAAAGCTAAACATAACAGAATCCGTTAAATAAAATTGTAAATTAAAAAAGAAAAAAAGACACACCTGGCTGCCTCCTCTCTATTTCTAAAATGCTGTTTTCCCTGTGGCAAAAACCAAAACCACCATCTGCACTGTTGTTAAGAAAGTAAGAAAGACTGGCATGGAGAAGGGGATAACAAAATCCTAGGTTAGCTTTGGACTTCCAGATACACATCTGCAGGTGTTCCTTCCTTCCTCATTCCTTTCCTTCCCTCCCGCCCTCTGAAAAAAACACCCATTATCAACATTTCATATGCTGCTTTATTTTTCTTCAATGCTGCATTACATTACCAGCACTCCACTCTTCCATTTGCCAAGACAAAACCTATAACCTTTTGTTACAAGGTGCAAAGTTCAATACTAGATATCGAACATGGTGCATAAAGAGTATGTCCTAAGAACAATTCAATTGCAAAACAACCTCAGGCTTCAAATGAGATTTACACCAATACCTTAAAAATGGGGTAGTCATTTACTTATCATTAATAGGATGGGGGCTCTCCAACCTTACAGAACACAGTTTACACTTCTGCCTGCTCATCTTTTATTGTACAGTTACTGTACATTACCACTGCAATTCATAACAGATTGTCCTTTAGCCTTCCCCCCAGCACATGCCAAACAGATGCCACAGGCTCCACTCCAACCATAAACTGCAGTAATAACACCAGCCTCCAACAAGAGAGATACTACACCAACAGGAATTTAATGCTTCTTTCTTTTCCTCTGGTCTGATGACATTGGAGTGCTTGCACACATCCTCACACACGCAGGACTCCTCTGGAGAAAGGTGGCAGTGATAATCGCTGCCAGCTCTCCTTGTAATGAAGAACACATCTGATAGAATGGAAACACTGGACGTGGCTCTGCCCCCCCTGCCTAACATGGGGACAGAAAAACAACACAAGAGAGACACAGTCCAAGAAACCTGTTGTTAACAGTACAGTCTGTCCATCTACAAGCCTTAACACAAAGGAATCCGATGATCCTTTAAGAAGACGTTGCTTGGGAACAAAGTTTGACACAGAAGAGGAATAACAAGCCAACCCTGCAACCAACACATCCTCCATGAGATATACTGGTGCAAAAAGACAGAGCACGTACCATAACTGGGATAACAAGTGACACCTTAGCCCAGTACCATCTGCCGAGGACCAAAGTGCAGAGGGGATACGTTCGCTCCAAGTAAGCAAGAACCAGCTTGCATTTAAAAAAGGAAGGAAAAAAAAGGGTGTGGGGAATCACAGCTTTTTTAAAAGGTGATCACTATTTCATCCTGAATTACCACCATAGCCTAAGTGCAAGGAACACCAACTACATAAACTGATCTAAAATGAGAAGTCAATGTGTGTGTAAGGGGCAATAAAAGCAAACTAGAAGGAGTTGCTGGTAGGGCACTGCTGTGAATCTGGAGGGAAAACAACAGAAAAGCTCACTGAACTGATTATGTTCAGCAGATCAGAAAATTCAAAGCAATAGTCCCTGCCTGCTAAAGCCTCACAAAATACTGGCAGCATTAGGTTGAGACTGCATTGTCCAAATCTATTCTTAATATTTTTCCCCCAAAAATGCTCCGATCCCTTCCCATACAAAAATAAACCCAAGCCCACCGCATACCCAAGTGTCTGGGCCTCTCCCACACCAATCAAGCTAAGCTGAAGCCCTCATAGTGATCAATGGCTTGCACCAGCCGGGCACTGAGGATCTCCTTGCTGCTGTACTTGGGCAGGTCCAAGAGGTTGTAGCAGGTGTGTGCCACAGGCAGGTACTGCTCCCCGTTGGCTGTGGACTGGATGACAATGCGGAGGCTCGACATGCCATAGATGGGGATGCGGTCACTGCCCGTCAGAAACACTGGAAGCAGAGAGAAGGCAGGCTGGTCAGAGCAAGCACCTCACTTTGAGGCTGGAGAAGACCTCTGGAGGTCATTTAGTCCAACACCATCTATTGCTTGAAGCGAAGCATACAGATGCACTTCTCAAGGACTTTTCTCGATGGCATTTCCTCTCAGCACACAACTCCCTTCCCACATGGAGACAGCCATCAGGAGAGGTGATAAACAACACCTACTCACACCAACATGGTCTCATTTTCCTATACATTATATGTCAGCTTCTCTTGGTTATCACCCCTAAATTGCCCCACTGCTCCTAATATGAGTGTTGCAGTGCCTGCAGAAGAAGCAATGGGCACTGGGGGCTGCCATAATCTGCCACCTAGCAACATAATAGATGGATACTATACTCCCACTGCAGATACCACCCTGTGAACACTTCAACCACACAGTGGTTTTGAGGTTGGGGGGAGTAAATAGGGACAAAGCAGACTATCTGATGAACAAGTAACTGAGGAGCTAATCATGCATTCTGGGTCAGTCTCTGTTAACGCAATGCACCACAACCCAATTATTTTCATTCAGCAGACAGCCTGCACCACTGCAAAATACTTACAGAGAAATTTCTTCTTCTTTTCCAAAGGAAATGCATGAAAGGTTTCCCAAAACATTCTCACAGTTGGGTGCGTCGCAGTGTAGTCTCCCTTATAGACAGCACTCTATTAGGAAAGCAAGAAGGCACATCATTGCATCTAGCAATAGAAAGCAAAAACTAAGCAGAAACCAGGCCTGGTCTTCTCTCCTGTCTGACATCAGATTGCTACCTGGCAATTAAGAAATGGAGCATAGGAAGTACCACGAGCAATAGCATGGCTCAAAGAAGCAAAGCATTTTCCCAACAATTTCTGAACCTTTTGTCAGTGTTTTTGGTGGGTTTTCTTGCCCTTGTATACTGGAGTTTTACTCTTAAGTTTTGTCTCTTTCCTACAGTCTTAGCCTTCACACTGATAAAAACCAGACTGAAGTCCTTCTCCTCTCTTCTTTCTCATCCCTAATTTCCTTTCTGAGCTGTGTTTAGTAACAGGACAATAGGACATTTCATGTGAATGACAGCAAGATGAACAAGGCACATAAAAAAGGACACTGTGGCTCACCACACCTCACGCCCCACTGTGCTCACCCTCCTGGTGCTTGTTAAAAAGACAAGAACAATGAGAAGGGAAGCTTTACCTCCTCCAGTTCCTCCCAGTTGTAGTTGCTGTTTCCAACTATCATGGCCCTGAGCTCTGTGGGCTGGAAGAGCTCCAGGACTTTCCCACCACACACTTTCAGGAAGCCAGTGGAGAAAGCTGTGTACCACTCATGGACGGAGCAGTTGAAGATGTAATTTACATAGGCTTCAACAAATTTTTCCCTAGGATGTTGAGAGACAGAGAAAAGCACTTTCATATAAATGCCTGAGCAGCAGCACTGTGTGTTTTCCTGTTTTTGCCTGTAATGTGTCTTACAAAAATTCGTGTTCAGTAAGTTTGTCCCACCACCACCAAGCTCAATCATTGCAATGTGGACAAAGAATTAAGGCAGCAGGTAGCACCAAGTGTCTGCCTAACCTCTGAGAGAGGCTACCACCTCCAGAACTGGGAGCCTGGCCAGGCACGCTGTGATTCTGCAGAGGCAGCTGCTCCAAACCCAGTCCCCACTGAGTCCAGACTGAGGAAATCCTGTTCTGAAAAGTCTCAATCTGAAACTACGTGGCCCATTAACCTTCTCCTCGAATTACTTCTCTTACTACAGAACAAGAAAATAAACCTAGAAATCTCTTATTCATCCTTCACACTCTGGTTAAATAAAAGTAGAATTTGTGCTTCTGGAGTAGGCAGCAAAGAGAATGACTTCCCTCAGAATGACAACACTGTTTTGCTTCAAAGGTTCCCAATAACAGCAGTGAAATAAAAGTAATATTCTGCAGTTACTGGCAAAAACCTTGTGGCAGGCCATGGCCAAACTGTCTCCAGATTTTGTTAGGAAGTTAAGAGTCTTTATTTTCTCTTTTCTCATTCTGAAGCACCAGGATCTGAATGCAACCCTAGAATTCTACTTTTGCAATGACCTGAAATATTTCCTGATGATATCATCTGATGACAAACTGGAACATGTAACTAGTCTCTATGGGTGGAGCAGCTGTTTCTGCCTGGCACTTAAGAACTGCTTACACTTAGACTCAGAAGCAGACCAAGGAACCAAGCAGAGCCCAGTGTCTCAACTGTTATCAAAGAAGGCCACAACTGGAAGAAGCATTATGATCTTCTGGTGGAGGAATTCTCAGTGCATACACTATGTAAAAGCAGGAAAAGATGGGCAAGAAATTCAAGAAAGAAAATAAGGAAGCAGACTGTCAAACATGAAAGCTTGGACAAATACATTATACGGCAAAGGGGGATTTATTTTCCAGTGCATTTGTTTTGCTGTCATTTTGCTGATGGTCACCTGAGCATTAGGGAAACCCAAGCTGATTAAGCATTTAACTGTTGCTTAATACCACTCTGGCAGTTACAGTCACAAACCATTTACCAAAAACATTTTATGCTGTGATACCCAATATGAACTTCAAAAGAGAAGGGGAAAAAGCAAGCATTTCCTACTCTGTACTGTTCAGTCAAAGCAATCCTAAGAACCCTTCAGTTACCAGTGAACCTTGCTCAAAGAGAAGGGTAACATCCAAAGGCATGAACACAACACACTTCTGAGGCCAGCAGGGCAGCAATTTGGTCCCTGACCTCTAAACATAGCAACAGAGGAAGTCATTAAGCAGTAAGGTGGATGAATTGACAGCCACGTCTAGACTTGGATTTAGAGGTTAGCTTGAGTTCAAAACTCTGGCCATGACAAAGCAACTGCATTGTGGAATGCATTAAGGTGGTGCAGCCACAGACTTGACTTTCTTTCTAAGGATTTGCTCCTCTTCTTGTCTTTCCTCACTAAACAGTTGAAGGAGTTAACCTGGATGTTCTTCCCAAACATCTGCTCTGAGCTAAAACCACTGATCCTTCCCCTAGGCCAGTGCAGCACACAGCAATAAAAAGGCTATTTTACTTTAGAATGTACATGCCTACCCAAACTAAAGACCAGCACTGGCATTTCCATCTTCATTGTCTCAAACTCACCCATACTCATCTTGCTGCCCGTCTTCTCTTTACAAGGAGACAGATTTACACTGCTCCATCTCTACCTGAGTTTTGTATGGAGACAGCTACCTAGCTGTAAAACTGCAGTAAAGTAGTTAAGAAGTTAATACAGACAAAGCTTTTACAGCCACGGTTTTAGACACAATCAGAACCATTTTAAATAATCAGATTAATGGGAAATGACTTCATCTCCAGAACTGCCAGTAAGGTCTTCAGCAGTTCTTGCACAAGCCCCAACCATCCTGCTGACTAAACACTGGATCACACTGTTTTGCCAGCAGAGAAAGAATTTCAATGCTGTTTCAAGTAATCAAGGCATCTGTGGAAATCCAATTACAGGATTATGAGAAGAAAATACTTTAGCAGCTGAAAAAAATCAAGGGGGGTAAATGGTAACAGTACTTGCAATAACTCTCAAGGTTTCAGACAAATGCAATTTGTTTACATACAGCTGGGCCTTAGGGCTCTGATTGGAGACGGTGGTCCTCTATCAGGCATACACAAGGAAATGTCTCCTGCTCCAGAATTAACAGTACGAACAAGTTTGCAGTCTCCGTTTTACTTCCTACATGTACAGCTCCTGTCTGTACCATTCATGGGGATGTTGTGATCTCTATTTACCATGAGAAGGCTGTGACAGGGGTCTCTATTAATGTCTTTCATAGAGAAGATACCCATCCAAAAAGCTGGGGGACATTTCTCAGACACTGGTGGATGCAAACCTCATTCTGTATTTAAATGTCATCCAATAACTTTCTGAACAACTGGTCTTAGAATCTGTTTACAAACAACTTCTCAGTGACTTCTAATTCTCCCCCACATTTCATCTCAGCCAAATTTTCTGTGGCAGTGCATCTGACTTCATCACAAGTGTGAGCCCATCCCCACATATTACCCCACTTACCTATTGTCCTTTTGCACCTGAATTTTGTCACCGTTTTCAATCAGGTTCTTGTGCTCTGTCACACCATAGCTCTCCCTGCAGATCTATATAAAATAACAAAATTAATTTCACTAAAAGTACTTCTCAGACCATATGCCTGCAGAAAGATACAGGGTTCTCTTTCACAGCTGATGAGTGGCATATGAAGGGTGGGACAGAAAGCGCGTATATACAGAACACTTTTTCCATCCTGTAAATGTCTCTACTTTCTATCATTTACATTTGCTGCAGAACTGATGTTAAGCCTAAAAGCAAGTTCAGAATGGAAAAAAGTTTTTCTTTAGGTCAACAAGAGACTGCAAACTACAAAAAGTATATTTAAATAAGCCCACATGCTTTGGCAATGAACAGAATTACTTTTCATTACTATTACTATTATTATCATAATAATGGAAGAACAGTAGATTAATTCATTTGCTCTCACTGCAAGACTGCATGACCACAGACAAACTGCTGCTCTTGCTTGGCCTGCAGTGGCACCAGTACAAACATACCTGGGACATACAAAATTATCATAATTATGGCTGCATTACTTCATCCTGAGTTGCAGCTCTGACCTGCTTGAGATAAAGGCAGACTCAGGTCTGACTTAGGCAAGAGACAAGCTTGATTTAAGAAACTTTGTGTTCTCATTTACGGAACAAGAAATAGACAACACTCTCCCAGCCTGACAGTGTGTAGCAGGGCTTCCTGCTACCTTGTTATTGCCCCAGGCTGGACCTGAACAGACAGCCAAGAATCTGTATCATGCTCAAGATCAATCTACCACTCACAGTGTGTTAGAGCAACAGGACTTCAAAGGCACTGAAACATGGAAGCCCTTAACCTGCCTGAGGGTAGCACAGCAAAACACCACTGGAGAACAATGATGCTGTATTTCTTCATGAGTATTGATATGTTTGCATATGAGGAAAGTCCTACCTGATATCTTAATGTACATGAAGATCTAACTCTTAATTCTAGGGAACCTCCACTGTGTAATAGAAATTATTGTCTCTAGGTTACTAGCTAGAAAAGAAAAAAATATATATTACTCTAGAAGCACAGAAAAGCTGACTACCTCAGTCCCCTAGAAAATATTTGTTTCTAAGTAGCCTAACCACATATAAACAATATAAACTTTACATTTAAAAATGTGATTATGACAGCAAGGAAAACTCTAAACTGTGTTAGCATTTCAAGCACTGGCCCAATGATCCCAACACCTCCATTTTCAAGGAGGATTTAGGAATCTAATTCTTACTCTTCTGTGTGAGAAGTCAGCCACTGGCATTATGTTACATGCCACGGTGACAACACAGCTACTCTGAAAACTACTCTATTTAACCTGCTTACTAGCTTAGTTTTCACTGCCATATAAAAAACAACAAGAGTTGACAACAAAGCATTTTAACAACTTAACATTAACATAGGGTATTTGCTACAGGCATATCTTATAACAAACACATAATACACATGAATGGGCTTCAACCACACTGAAACAATCACAGCACTTGTATGTTAAATATATCTTACTGTAAAATTCAAGCAGAATGTCTCCTCTATATCTTCCCCAGGATAATCTAAAAGCTGCTGAAGACTCCTATATGTGAGTCGGGGAAAGAAGAAAGAAAGAAAAACATATTCAAAAAGCCAGACATTTAATAAGAAAAAGAAAATTGGCAAAAGTAAAAAGCATCATACATCTATGATGTAATAGGATTGCAAGAAAGAGAACTTCTGAGTCACCTGAAAAGGTAAGAAATATGCTTCAAGGGAGAAGATGCTTCACTAGAAACACAACAGGCACTAGTCCACACAAAATATCCATGTAGTCCATGCCTACCCAGTACATGGATACCCTGTAGTCATCCTGGCCTCAGACAGAGCTACATTTCTAGTTTTCAAGGGCTGCTAGATATTTATGCCTAGACATAAAGAAGGTCTGAGGGATAGGAAGAAAACAGGGTAGTGGGAAATTGTATCCTTATCTCCATTATATAGAAGATATTCTTCTCCTATCACTCAAAGTCCTTTTGCTGTCTTCCTGACATTTTACTTAATTCTAGTAAAATACAACTGCAGCTTTGTGCTGGTAAACCAGACAGTAACTCAAAAGAGACAGGAGACAGCAGTCACACAGCAGTGGGATATTAACATCTCTGTCAAAGAAAACCAATATCCTCACACAATGAGGTAGAAAAGATTAAACAAAGATTTTAGAAAAAGCCATTCCTTCACCCAGTTCAGCCCCCTTTCTTGGGGATCTGCTCATGGGAGCAGGTCAGAGTTACGTTGGTTCAGGGCCAAGCCCAAGCCTGGCTTGAGGAAAAAGCTGAGGCTAGGATCTGGGATCATGCATGTAACTGGGCTACAGAGCGGCAGCGCTTTTGCTGTGCTGATACTGAGCTTTCTGGGGCCAGCAAGGTGGCTACAGAGGTTATTACCTGAGCAGATCTGACAGCCCAGGGGAGAGAAGGCTTATGTAACATTCACCACAGCAGTCTGCTAGTCTCACAGCGCCCCCAAAATAATTGGTCACTCAGAAGGACCCGGAGGTGATGTACTGAGCAGTTTGTACCATTTAGCATTTCTCTATCTCAGATGGATGGTTTCCCTTCCCAGAAAGGCTGCAAATTTTGTTTTTCATACCTTCCTTCTGTAGGGGACAGCTCCTTCAAATCCTCTAGGCATGGCTTCACATTCAAGAGCTTTTTGTACAGAGCCAAGGGAAAGTGAAGGTCTACCACTGTGAAGTTGTATATTGCAAGACCGCATATGATGCCAATCAAGTGAAACCAGTTGTGTTCTACAAAACACTTCAAAACCACACAGAGAAATCCTGATGAGATGCAGTGTTTCTGGCACGATGCATTGCACTCTTACCCCATGCATGAAGAAGCCAGCCCCTGCTATCTCAGCCGGGACAAAAACAGAGTGTGTCAGGTCCCAGCCTGGTTATGAATTCCTTGATCCTAGCCTTGCTGGAGTGTGGCACAGAAATGAAACTTCAGAAACAGTCGTATTACTTCTGTAAACCTCTGCGTTTAGACATTATCAGAGAAATATAGAATGGCCTGGGTTGAAAAGGGCCACAATGATCATCTAGTTTCAACCCCCCTGCTATGTGCAGGGTTGCCAACCACCAGATCAGGCTGCCCAGAGCCACGTCCAGCCATTAACAAAGCTTCAGTGTTTGCCACCTATGTACTGCAAAAAAATTTGTTAGCACTTCTCTCCCTGTCACTCACTCTATCTTCTATTAAAAAGCTTATGCATAACCACAGTGCCACCCAGGCAAACACAGGCAGCTGTTGGTACACAGGGCTTCATTCCTTCATGTATTTACTCTCACGCTGCTAGGTCAGTCACAGGCTCATTACCTGGATTTGCTAAATGTTGTAAATACATGACTCAGATATTTTCAGTGATCATGTTGTCATTACTCTTAAGTGTCAAAAGATTTGTTATTTTTACAGCTTTAACACGAAGAGTAATTGCTCTGTAATACTGTCACATGTTACAAAAGGCACCGTGTCATTTCCTTCCTTCAACAACGTAATTAATCAAATAAAAGAACCCCCCACCACAGCAAGTGTACCTCAAGGTAACAATGATAACATCACTTTCCAACTTATGACATAACTAGGAAGGTAAAAAAAAAGGATATAAACAATCACCTCCAGCTATCTGAGAGGTTGAGAACTTCCTATCTTTCCAAAACCAACCAGTGCTCACTACAGCATTCTTACTTTTTAAGAGTTTCCTCACATAGATCATCAACAAGTTTTGAACCTGAAGGTGATAGTGATGCATGAACAAGTGGATTGATTGCAATTACGTGAACAGCAATGAAAGTACTGAATTTTAATGCCAGTATGACCTAAACCTCTGGTTGTGTAAAACAGCACATGATTATCACATTCATGCTATTTGAGAATTCTATTAACTGTCATCTGATACTAAGTACAAGCTTTATTGTGGGATATGAATAAAGAGTCAATTCCTTAACAGGCATAATCAGAGTTAATGGACCTATACTAATTTACATGGGCTGAAAATAAAGCTCACGTTATGCCGTGGGTGGAAAACAGGAGGGAAAATCACTTCTTTCCCATCGTTTGCCACTAGCTTCATTATCATTTAAAGCAGTACATTATTTCAACCTGTGTGCACAGAGGGCAAGGGCTCACCGTGTCTGAAAACCACAGCAGGTTTGACTCTGGGTAGTAAGTGAACATGCCGTAGATGGGGTTGAGGAGTTCTTTCAGCAACAGGAGGAAAAATTCCTTTGTCACCCCTCCAGCATCAACAGCTTCCTCACCATCGAAGATGACCTGCAGAAAACAAAGATCAGTAACAAGGATGCAGAGCTGAGACAGAATGAATCAGACACCTTTCTGACTGAAACCATGCAAAGCAACTTGCCTGACATGCCCCAACCCGCTACAGTCCTTGAGCCAATTTCAAGCACTCGGCTTGCAGGGAAAGACAGGAAGCACAGAGTGGCAAATCTGATATTTAGATAAACGTTAACTTCTTATGTTTCTCCTGTTAGATAGCAATCAAATCATAATCACCTGCCTCCTCAGCAACTGAAGCAGCATGACAACAGTTACTGAAATTTGCAGCAACTGCTCAAAGATAAAAGACACTTTATTGTAAGTGCTCTGCTCCCACAGAATGGCAGAACAGACAACACATCATATCACAGACATTACTTCCCTCCCGCCCCTTACCTAGAAGAGTCACCAGGAAAAGAGAGCAAACCCTCTAACTGGCTTCCTGTGAACTGATTACTGCCAAAAAACTCCCGGAGTCAGAGAGGAGAAAGATCCAGCTCCCCCACTGAAGAGATGTATCCCTGCTTTCTACTGATATGGTAGGACACTGCTGAAGTGGCAGTGCAAAGGGCAGAAAGGCTATGGAAGTGTCAGCTGCATGAGAAGGTTTAAGGAAAACTTACCTTAAGAGGCTTTTTCAAATCAATGTCTGAATGGATACTCAGCTCTCTTAAAGCATCACCCACTAAATTACTCCTGCGAACATGAAGTACCAGGAAAGGGCTTCTGGCCAGCAGAGGCTCCAGGGTGAGAAGCATAAAAACATTTTGCAAATTTGCACCATTTATTGCCACCTGTAAACAAGAAAGGCGTGAGAAACAGCTGGAAGGAAAACATATATGCCTGATGTTCCTTTCTTCCTCTCAGTTTGTTTTCCTCAGGGTATGAGAACTGTGTGACCACTATACAAGTCTGTGTGCATGCATGCCTGCTTGCACTCTCATTTTCCACACCCACACCTTCTGAGATCACCAATTCACAAATGCAAGAAACAGATATTAAGCAGAGATATTAAATTCCTGAACACTTTCTGACATTAGTGACAGGCTGGTGGAAGAAAAAGACTTTCTTTAAGCTTCTACTGAGTCATAAAACAGCATGAACACAACCTTGATAAGGTACCATACAGTCTGCAAAGCAAAATTGTGTTACTAATACGCCGGGTGAAAATATACCAAGAAATTCACTGCATACAAGTGAATAAGCTCTCGTTTATACAGATTTTCTGAAAGTCTAGTCAAAGGTTTGACCACCCACAGAATATTCATTCTTGTTCTTTGTCTGTCATAGCAACAAATTCATACAGTAAATGCGCTTAAAAACTCAAATGACCTTGAGACAGAAATCCATTGGAAACCAAACTTCCATTCCAGCACTCACAGAAGTACTGGTTTTGGCCTCTAAGTGATTGTCTTCATAAAGATTCTGTCTCTCAGGACAATACAACTGTTGCCAGCCTGCTATTCTGCCAACACAAAGCAGATACCCTCCTGACAGCAATGTGCTGCTGACAGTTTGGGGAGTTGGAAATAACAGAAGAAAGTGGCAAAATAAGAGCATCAGAAGCTGACTCCTGCTGCTCAGTGAGTACAGGCCAAGCTTACAGATGGAACCAAAAAAACAAAGTACAAAGTAACTCCCAGTGAACTCCTTTCCTTGCAGGCACCAATGCAAAAGACAGGAAAAAAGTAATTAGGGCAGGAAAACTTGAAGAGAGAATGATTACCTGCATCTGTAGTTCTGCATCTGTCTGTAACATCTTGGTCTTAGCCTGAGCATCAAAGATGAAAGGATAAGAACAGAGAGTCACAGCATCCTGTAAGACAGACAGACAGACAGACAAATCTGTTCTCACTTACAGCTTCTATAAACACTTTTTCAAATAAAGAGTGATAAAAACAATTTCCTTACTTGCATGATAGATGGTCTTACTTTCTGTGAAGGAGAAAAAAAAAAGGAGAGAGAAATGAAAATCTTTTTCTCTATAGACTGTGTCGTGTATTTCTTAGGATGAACTAGTTCAAAGGTGACCCAAAGGGAATTTTTCTCCCACAAGCCAATCTCTTCCTCTTAAAGAAAAGCATGGGAATTTTCTTCTCAAGGAAACAAATGCTTCTAATTCAAAACTCTCATACCAAACATTACTAAGAGGACTAACTGTCACAGAAGCCCATTAGCCTGATAGAGGTGAAACTTACCTTATGAAGAAAAACAAAAAACAAAAAAAAGCAACCCTCAAGGCAGAGAACACATGAAACAAGAGAATGTAAAGCCACAGCACAACAATATAAGACCAGTCTTGCAACACAAATTAGTCTTCTAATTAGCTATGGATACATTTTAAACTGTTACTGTTACATCAAACTAGATTACTAGTTTGATGTACTAGGTATTGTTCTGCTCAATAAAAGCAAGCACACAGCTGCACTATCTATACGATGGAAGGTGAGAGAGAGAACACAGCACTCACAACATTTAGAAGGTACACACAAACACGTACAGTAATATTTGCTGCAGTCCTGTTTTAATCTTGCAGCATCTCTGGGTGGATTTATTTGTTTGCTTTCTCACATTAGGGATTTCTTTCCTTGTTATAATTAAATAATCTTACTGGGCTCCTGTACAGCATTTTCCAGCCCTCAGTTTCGTTATCTCCTTTCTTACACATGGTAAAGTAAGGAATAAAAAAGGTGAAGGGCTAGGAATAAAACCCAGATCTTTCGAGTCTTGGTTCAGTCCCCTATCCAGAATGTTACACTGCCCACTCTTACAGAACAGCATTTTGAGATCACTGGCTGTATTTATTCACAATATTGCCTAAACAACAGAAGCAAAGGGTAAAAATTATAACTTTATGATACATCCTTTGGCTCACAAGGTATAGATTACATTAAAAGGATTCAGTGACTGAATTAACCCATTTGTGAAGGAACTGAAATGGTAATCACAGAAACTGTTGCAAACATAAGATAAATATTGTTTGTTAGCTCTTCATCAAGTCACTAACTATCCAAATCTGAGACTTAATGTAGAGATGCTCCTCCACTGCATACATTATGCTCTCAAATAAGAGGATGTTAAAAATATAGATCTCTTTCATAAGAGACACAAATGTGGACAGAGTACATGTGAAAGCTCTTACCATTCCAGCCTGATGTAAGAACCACATGAGGTAGTCCTCTTGAATGTCCACCAAGCTGGAAATCTCAGGGATATAAAACTTATCATATTCTATATGTTTAACTTTCTGATTTACCTAGGGAAAAAGCAGATAGTTTTTTAAATACGGATGCATTCAGCATTTTTCTTAGAACAGGCAGGTTTGCTTTTATAAAATCAAATACAGCAGGTTGCAACAAACAGGCTCCAGAAAATTGAGAAACTTCTTCTCCTTGTTGTGGAGTTTCAATGAACAATGAGACAGCTAACACACCAGAGCTTGTTCCCCAACTGACCAAGAGCAGACAAGACTGAATCATCTTGAGCCAACACACACACCCAGGCTTACCTTGTGGAGTTTCTCCAAAAGCCTGAGAGCAGCTGTGATGTAGCTACTGAACAAGACTGGGATCAACAATGTCTTTCTTCCACTGAGGAGGTAAACCACTGCACCTTTATAGAGATCCACTAGCCTGAGGAAATATCTTGGACACACTTGAGACCACCAGTTATCTGAAAAGAAGAGGACATCAAAATAAATCCGGAATTGGATGCTCCTTACATAAAAGTGAAAATAGAGGAACACACCTAAAAACTTCCGTAGTTCCTGACTGTTGGAATAGGAAAGCAAGCAGAGGAGGGGGCAGACACCAGAAGCTTTTACTTTCTACCCTTCCATTATCAACCATATCACTCACCATCCAGCCCCAAGCCATGATCAGTGCACGAGCCTGAACTCAAGGTTTTCCAACTATTTCAAGTGTTTTATGTTCAAGATTGTGGGATCTTGCAGACAAGTCATTGTCTCTTTACAGTGATAAGAAAGTAGTTCTCTGATTAGTTCTCCATCAGTACACCTACTTTTATAGCTGAGGGTATAAGAGTCAGAGAGTCTCTTGGCACAGCTGCACTAAACATCCCTCTGTTTAATAAGCTGAATTACTTCTTGCTATTACTTCTTGCTAACTTTCCTCCAAAGAGACCCTGCCTATCAGGGAACCAATCCACCTGCAAAGTACATCACATCTACTGTTAGAAATAAACACTGGCTTATCCCCTTGAAGTGTCAGCACAACAAATGTGTGCCACAGAAAGAGAATCTTTTACACTTCTTCACGCTATTAATCACAGTGGACAAGTAGTTCTAAGCAGAGGAGGAAATCTGCTTTCAAAACCTCTTTGAATAAAATAAATAAATACAGTAATAAACCTCAAAAAAAATTCACCAGAACAATGCCTCTAGAGGCCTGAATATTTTACATAGCATTTTATATATATGAGCATTAGTGTAAGACAACCTTAAGAAACAGAATAAAACAGCAAAGAGCCAATATCTTTGCAAACATGAGCAGCAATTTTGAGCAGCTTATCTTCTCCGCATTGTGTTGATTATGAAATAACATCAACAGAAATAAGATTCAGATGCAGGAGATGAGCTGTTGTGTTTCGGTTGACCACAGACCAAACAATAGTTTTTTCTGCACTTCATAAGCTAAATTAACTTTATGTTAGCAGTATTTTCATTGATTTACCTTGCACAGAAAATATATTTGGATGTGAACAACATCTGTTTAAATTTAAGAGAGTAGTACCACTTAATCTTCATGACATGAAAACTCTATGTTCACACAGAGGCTTAAACTTTCTCTGGAATTGAGTCTCTGAATGTAGGTAAATTAGATAAGGCAAATTAGAATAACTTTCTTATTAAGTGTTCTTCAAAATATTCTACCCCTATATTAAAACAATGCTTAACTTGAATCTGCTTCCTCATTTATTGTCCACAGCACTGTAAAATTATAGGTTTTATATTACTGTAACTCTCTAGCTTCCCATATTTTATCTTTATGGCAGAGTATTCATTCCAATGTATTTGATGTTTAGAATTAACATGTTATGTTTAAAATTATTTTACATCAAAGCATAGGTTTCTGGGAGGAGGATTCCTCGTCTGCTTTCGGTTCCTAGCTGCTTTTTAGAGGCAGCTGCTTCCTGACACCATACCACAAGTGATACTCAATTGTCGTCATCACTACAGCCACGGTTAACAAAATCACCAAAATTAAATCAACATAGAAATGTGACCAAAAAATCAAAAGACAGTAATTTGTATCTTCACTGGATGGTGAGAGCAACATGCATCTTAAATGGTAGCCCCTTACCAAGAACTTTGCTAGGATTGGTGTCCAAGCGCAGAATAGCCATTGCCAGAGGAAGTGTTAATGTGATATAATACTTTGAATCTTGGAAGGGTGGGAATTCAGGGAGAATCAGATAGATCCTCATTGCCTCAACGTCTGGTGGTGAGCTGGACAACTGAGGAATCAAAAAGCTTTCAAAGCTCTTCAGTATCTAGAGGAGAAAAAAAACAAAATGAGACAACTTACCCTGGATGATGGAGCTCCTACAACATCAATGATGTGTAAACAGAGCACACAGAGCATAAGTAGATTTAGCTTTTGCTTCCGATCCCTTGAAGCACTCCACAGAACACAACTAAACTCATTTATTCAAAATGCATAAATGTTTGGGTAGTTTTTTCCAGGGGTGTCTAGGTTTTTTAACCCCTCTTGCTGAAGGTCACATCCCTTCTTTGGAAGCCCAGCCAATTAATTTATCATTCAGCACTTTCTGCACATAAAAGCGCAGCAAAACAGACACCAAACCTTATAGATAAAGCTCTCCAAAATTAATTCTGTCTGAAGCAGACAGGTAAGATGTAAAATTTCACCTGCAGTTCAAGTCTGGCAAAATGTCACACAACGCCTTCTTACCAGTGTCCCTTTCTGATGCCTATAATACACAGAGATTCAACGTACCACAGGTCGGTGTACAAAGGTCCCACTGTGCCTAAAACAAGGACTGATAGACCACAGGGCTACTCAACACATTGAGTCATTTCTGCTGAGGGGGAGTCAGGGAAGTTGAAAACAATGATTAGATATGACCAGTGAACAAATAGCAAAAGTGAAAGCAAGAAATTCTAAAAAGCTATGGAGTATAGCACCTTGGATGACTGAAGAGACATTTTATATACTCAGTTCCAAAATGTTACTTTAAGTTTCTTAAGTTACTTTAAGCTTTTCACCCCTACCAATATTTGGCACACAGCAAAATATCTGTTTCAGGCCAGAGCCCTTACAACAAGGCCCTTCTCAATTTCCTCCTCTGGAAGATAGATTTTAGCAGCAAAATTATAGCATGATACTTGGTGTGACTTTCCAGCTCACCTAGCAAGTGTAACTTTATTACTTCATCAGAAAAGACTCCATTGGGTAAGAACCACGATTACTCTCTGACCTTTAAGGTCCCCTAAAGTTCACTGAAGACAGTGACCTATGTTCAGGAGCCACTGAACTTATTATTACTAAGTCCCATCTTGGTTGTCAGTCTATATCCACTGAAGACTTGAGAGAAGCTGAAGATCATACCCAGAGCAAAAACAAACAAGAAAAAAACTGTAAAAATTACAGCTTGAAATATAGAGAACATACACTATTTTCTCACACATCTCTGCATTCACAAGAAAAATCCTCCGAGTTAGAATAAACAACCAGGAAGTACTCAGCTGTTGACACACCAGAAGTAAGAACATAGTCATTATATACAAGCATAACATACACAGATGTGATTTCAGGAGTCATTTCAACCATTAATTAGATGCCACAAAACAAAACTTTTTAAAAACAAGTTTTTGAGGCAGATTTTGAGAACATCAAAATCCATCCAGGTCAGTGGAGATGCATTCACTGACACCATGATGGATCCAGCCTGTAGATTTGAAATACAAATGCTCCCCCAAAAATGTGCTGTTTCTTGCATGTTACAGAGGGACAAAGCTTTTAATTCCCCCTAGGAACACCCAAAAAACTGTGAAGTATAATACCTGATCTAGGAGAATTGAATGTTGCGAGTTCATCAGCTTCTCGAACAGCACTCTAGTGGAGTTCAAATCAATCCCTGGGATCTTTGGACTGGTCTTAAAATGTTCATCAATTCTACAAAAAAAAAAAAAAAAGATGACAGACATAAGTTCAAGGAAGAGAAAACATTACCTGTGGATTGGCTTTGTCTCAGAGCAAGTGATGGAGGACTGACCCCTCTAGTTTGAATTAATCAAACTAGAAGCAAAGCAGATTTTCAAATCTTCTTGCTAAGAACAAGATGCACAGTTCCCCCTTCAGAACTCCTCTGGGCCTTGTTCAGATTTAGAATTCTTACAGATAAAGCTTATCAAACTCTTTGATGTAACTTCACAGATGCCAGTAAAAATAAAAAGACAACTGCTACAATTTCACTGACCTTGTGGAATTCCCATGCATGACACTATTTATCCCTAGGAATGTGTTTTATCAGACACACTGTGAAGGAAACAGTACCTATTAAACATGGGATGCATTTGTCAGGTTGCTGGTGCAGCTGCAATGAGAAGTTAATCATAGACTGCTGGAGTAGTTATCTCCATAACAACATAAGCACCAGGCTGGAAATAGCTCCTCAGAGTCACACTGCTGTACAAGCAGCTTCAGTAGTAGTACTGCAGCACGCCCAGTCATACAGACACAGAAATGCTGCTTCTCTACTCAGCCCTGTGTACCAAAGAGCTGTACTGCAAACTAAATGGCATTTGGGCACTGAAGGCATATAGTAGGGTATCAAATTGATCATTCATTTGGTCACAGACTTGTACAAGTAAAGTCTGCACTAGCCAAGGCATCATTAAGGTGGAAAGAGAACTGCACTGAGGTGAACAAATCACACACTCTACTCCTTTCCAAGGAGCCCTGACACTATTTGCAGTGACTCAAATACTCAAATTAGAGACCTCGCTATTTTCACAGAATCACAGAATCACAGAATGGCCAGGGTTGGAAGGGACCTCCAGGATCATGAATCTCCAACCCCCCTGCCACATGCAGGGCCACCAACCTTCCCACCTAATGCTAGACCAGGCTGCCTAGGGCCCCATTCTAAACCAACATGACACAACTCTTCTTCTACAGTCACGTTGCCTTCTTGCAACACTACAGAAGAAGCCATTGTACCAGCTGAAAAAATGAAAGAATAATGAGTAGCTTGTTTTCTTTTTTGAGCTGCTCTTGGAAAAGATTACTCAAAAGATTATTCAGAGTAACTAAGTCATCTTCACCTAGTTACAGGTCATTTACTCATCACATCACCATAAAAATTCCTCCTCCACCTCATCTCATGCTGTTAACTCCCCAGCATTTACAGACACAGACAACACAGCCCTCCCCAACCCACAGCCTCTGACTCAGCTATGCATATTACATCCTTGTCACCACCTATTGTTAGTTATACCTATTTGAAACTCTTGCCTCCGCAAGCAAAAGCAAAGAACTTCCCACAGCTGATGTCCCCTAAAAGGAAAGTGCTTCCATGCTGGCCTGCACGTATTTTTTCAAAAGCAGCCTGTGTTGAGATACAATTCCACAATCAGTAGCCTCCCCCAGCTAGCTCAGCTGGGTATGAGACTACTCCAATATCTGGTATTAATAATTTCCTTTAATATCGTATTACTATTCCTCTTTTAAAGTTCATATTCATTTCATAAGGAAAAATAACAAGCATGCTACTTACTCACCATGCACTTTCTTAGACCCAGCTCTGACCAACTACCTCTTTAGCAGACACTCTTTGCCCAATCTCCTGTTTGATCAGAACAATTAAAGCCCATTGCAACAGGCGAGTGACAGATAGAGATAGAGATTCCAGTCTGCCTCAAGGGAAAGCTACAGTACTTGACTCTGTTTTTCACTTACTTCTTCTCCAAGAAGCTTCCATTCCAGCAGGCAGCTGAGGACAGTATCTGAACAACATTACTGTTTGCAGCAAGAAGACAAAAGAAAACAGGGATAGAAGGTATAAAACAAATGTCCAAGCAAATCTCTTCAGACATCTTCCCTTCATTCTATGGGAAACAATGCCAAGAACACCCCACTATTCAAAGGCAGAGGTTAAGGGGCTCACTCAGTATCATGTAACACTCCTCTTTGAAAAGAGGGATGTTAGCAATGCCTCCTTTCCACCTACTCTTCACTTCTCACAGCAGGCGGGGAAGAATTTAAACAGTCTTCTTGCTTTTCATGAACTCTAAGAACATAACGAAGAACAACTTTATAATCAATTTCCCACCCACTATTTGCAGTATTGTGAGGCAGCCTTAAATTCCTCTGGTTTTGCTAGGAAGCTCTAACCTGGTATCCTTGTGACTGGCACTTGTTCTCCCCTTGGATATGGCCAAGAACCACACACTTGAAAGGGCTGCTGAATTTCAAGTGAAAACATGGCACGGAAGCCAACAAAATTATTTAAATAAAACTTCCAACAAAAGGCTTGTCCAGTGCCACAATACCTACTTGACAGAATTAGAACTGTTCTTTTCTAAAAGCTTTTGCCTCCAGACATCTATAGTTTCATCATTTATTAAACAGGTGTAACGTGTTTCATTTATGGTCCGGAAATCATCAGCAGGCAAGGAATTCTGTGAGAAGATACAGATTTCAGCAAAGACAGGCTTGTACAACAACTCCTTCTTATTAAAAATTTCTGGTTTTTATATACAACTGATAGCTTTCTGGGTACGGTCTCTGAACAGGTTTGATTAGGAAGCTGCACCATTACTAATAAGTTCAAAAGGAAAAGCACGGGAAGGAATGGAAAAAGCCAAGGTCATCACCAAATACACTTTAAAAAAGAGGAGAAGTGAAAAAGAAAAGAAAGTATAATTTCCTTAAATGTACCAAAGCTCTTTCAAATAACGTTGCATATAAACAAAGGCTTAGTGCATTTATTCTACAGCTACGTCCATCCCACAAATGTGTATGTCAATAGCTTACTGAAAAAAAATAAGATGACAGAAGCAGAAAAACTGCACACTATCCAGCTGATCTGACAATATCCCAGTGTGTATTCCACTTCCTTACACTCTCATCATGTGAACCTCACTGTCTCAGGAGTAAACCAGTCCATTACTTCCCATGTGCCAAGGAAGTAACTTCCCTCCCTGATGAACAAACTGGTATCAGTGTCTTCCCAGTCACTCTTTGACATGACTTAAAAGGAAGGCACCTAAAAAAGTTGTAAATCCCTGTACTGTTGTAAATAAGTGTTGTCCAATAAGGTTTGTAAAGTAGAATAGACTCCAAAACACCACCTCATTTTCAGGAGATTAGTTAAAAAAAACAAACAAAACACAAAGGTGTGATCTGAGGGCTGGGGCAGGAAAATAGATTTGAGGAAATACCAGAAGATACTTAATTTGGCTTACCTCATATTTGGAACAAAGTACAAATGTTTGGTCTCCTCCCGAGAAGATATGTTTAACAATATGATATTTACAGGCATCTGTTGAGGAAAGAAATGCAGTTGCATTGATTAATCTTTCTTTGCCTTTTCCCCCCACATTTGCACCGCCACTGTCTCATGCTTTACACTACAAGGAACACCTGGCTCCTTGAGGGTAAGGCTGAAATGAGAAGGTACTGAAACACTGGAGCACTTTGTTTGAGAAGGACACAGGACCTGGCAGTAGGGGAAATTTGTAATTTCTAAATAGCAGTGAGGTTGCTATATAGGTGAGAAACCAAAGCCCTCAGAAATCAGTATTGAAACAATGTAATGAAGGCTCAAGGCCACCAAGTGTTGAGGTCTGCCATGATAAGACAAGGCACACAGATTAACAGAGAGCAGAGGTCACCCCATAATTCCACACTGCATTTGGGCCACAGGAATGAGTTTCCTTTGCCATTTCAAGAACTTACAGTGTAACGTCAAGGTGGTTTTAGATCAACATGGGTGAGATGAAGCGACTTATGCCCATTTGCTACTTCAAATCATTCATAGTACATACCAGGTTTCCCTGAGAGTTGCCCATTGTGAGCTGCCCAGTGACCCTTCACCGGAGAGGGACACTTAACGTTGCAAGTGTGCCCAGTTCCCAGCTGGCCTCTTGTTCCACAGCCAAATGCATAGATCATTCCTGAAGAAGGCACAAAGGCTAAAGTGTGATGTCTGTAACAGAGATGGGTACAAAGTTTGGGCCATGTTTAACAATTAAAAGAAAAAAAAAACACAAACCAAACCTAAAATTTATTCTCACTTCCCCCAGGCCAGAAGCTGGCACAAAGCATCAGTGCTCAGCTTTTGCCACTTGATGGCACCACTTTATAGGATACAGTTCTTCAGGTGAAAGTGACAAACAGCAGCCTGCGCTAGCTGGCGCATATCAGGATAAAAGACTGAATTAGCTTAGTCATTTGCTAAGCCTGCACATATAAAAGGCAAGAACATAACACTTATGATACTAACTTCTCTCCTCCTGAAAGAGGCTGGAATCTTGTAACCAAAAGGGGCTGCAGCCCCAAAGTCTGTCTTTGTCAGACTTTGTCAGTCTCTGTCATTAAAACAGAAAGGTGTCACATGCCTGGGGCACGGGCAACAGCCTCAATTAAAAACCAATCTCCATCAGAGGGACTTAAGATTTTCCAGGGAAATAAAATTAACATTAACTTAATTTTGACACACACGATGCAAAAGCAAGACTATTCCTTCTATTTACAAGACTCAGTGTCAGCATTAACCTCCACTGAAGGAAAATTTTTGACTGCACATAGTACTCACCTGCCACAAGCAATCTGGGATACTTCACTGCCCATCAGCTCAAGAACTCTTCGGGGGTTCACTTCATCATTCATGGAATCATGTCCCAGTTGCCCGCAGGAACCTGCACCGAACGTGAACACCCCTCCACTCTGTTAGCAAACCAAACAGCATATTCTCCATTTAGGACCCAAATCCCAGCAGCATCTCTTTAACTCCAGTTTCACTACAAGCTCAAGCTTAAGCAGAGATTGCTGGGGATTCCAAAGGATTCCGAAAATAAACTTGTGTTCTGCTACTGCAGCTTCCAAATAGCAACCCTGCCATTCATCGGTGTCGTAATTATCTCCAGGTATGCCTACAGAAGACAAGCTTTTCCCCACCATTACTAGATGAGCCTGAATCTCAGGAGGTTTAAATATGGTTCAACAGCCCCCATTTCCACTATACTATACATCCACCACTGTCAGCTGCTGTTCAAAAAGATTGTGACCTTTCTCCTTGAATGAGAATCACACTCTGGTCTTGTACAGTAGCTTTCCCACAGGAACCTCAAGATCAGCTCTTTCAGTTCCATCTACAGCAGAGAACATTAAGGCACCAACCCAGGAAGCAACACACTTAGAAGTGGCTGGGGTGAGACAAGAACTAAACACTGATCTCCCCAATGCTAGTCCTATTCTCTGTCTACTAAACTACACACTACTTGGAAACAGCAGTAGATTTGGAATTGAAAGCCTCTCGTAAATGCTGTGAGTGACTGGCAACTCTCTGTTTGATAGCCCATTCTGTCTGCCTTTTATTCTGAGGCACAGTAACTCTATCTTCCAATGCAACATTATGTTATCACCCCTTTGGATATTTGTTTCTTATTCTCTTTTTGCACAAAGCTCATTTCTTTAAGACATTCACCTGAGTTTTACTATTCATTGTCATGGATTACTAACATCTTCATTTTAAAAACAGCACTGGTTCACGTTGGCAATGAATCTCAGAATAAATTATAAGACTATTTTCCACTTAGTCTCTTTTCCAGGAGTCAGATAAAATAAGGAACGTTGATTTGTTCTTTTCCACCATTTCCTAAGAAAATAATGTGAAACCTTCAGGCAAGACAGCAGCAAGGGTTCCCAGCTTTGGGAACTTCTTTACCTTTGTTAGAACTGCTGTGTGTTCCTCTCCACAGCTGATGTAAACAACCTTCTGAGACCGCAATAGCTTCACATGGCAAGGGGATTCTCGGTCTGTGTAGAACAAAATAAAGGAACTGTTTCATAAATACAGTCCTAAATGACTGAGAAAACCACTGGCAGTCTAATTTTTAGACATATTCCACAACTTGGGCCACAACGAGAGTTTTAACAAACACTGGGAAGAAAAAGCAGATCCTTAATTACTCCACTGTTGCTTTCCCCTTCCATTTTTAACAGATTTGCCCTGGTTCAAGAAAAGTGGGATGAAGTGAGGACACAAATGCTGAGTATCTCATATAAATTCCACCTGCACTTGCAGCGTGGCACAAATAAATGGCTAGTGTAGCCGAGCTACACTCACCCTCAGCCTCATGCTCCATTTCAACTCTTTGCTGATGACTGCTAACATTTGTTTGCAACACCATTTTTAAATCTTTTTCTCATACAAAACCAGCCTGACATGGGAGACACCAGTGCAGAGCACATGACAGCTAAATCCCAAGGTGTATTTAAATGCCTAGTCTTCCTTCTCTGTTCATCCCTTAAGAAGATCCTGATACTTGCAAAGGCTGATCTTTGCCAACAGTTGAATGATGCTTTTCTCCTTCACTGTGACATTCTAGTCACCAGGGCTCTCCCAAGGATGAATACACTAAGCAAAGTTATACGTTTTACAATGTAAAAAATAAAAATAATTTGCATTTCAAGGAGCAGTGGGCACCCCAAAACATTTAGACAGTAAAGGGAACAGCTGCTTCCTTTGTACCAACAAAGTATCAAGTAGAAGTTTGTCATTTTTTGAGACTCAAGAACTTGACAGGAGCTTTTTTCTGTGTGGTAAAAGGCAAATAGTCACATTTTCATGAATTTAGAAATGAGAGCAGATTTTTTTCATTTATGTTGTCCTTGACAGGAATTACAGTTTATCTCTACAGCATAATTGTTTAAGTAACAGTGCTGCAGAATACCCATGCTCTTAATTTTTGCTGCTCATGTTCACTGAGTAGAATTCTGTCTTATCATGACTCACTCACCACAAATGCCAAGTATTTACGACAGCATCACTTACTGAGTGTTAGCAGAGTATGATCTCTGGACAACACAGTTCCACAAGCAGATGCCCCTTATGTTTTTATTTAAGATAGTCCTACATCAAAATAAACCTTCTCATACATAGAATACAGCATTTCTAACAGTGCTGTGTTGAGATCAGAAGCATCTGTCAGTCTGCAAGGAAAGAACACAGCTGCTCTTATACTAGGTCAACACTCTAGCTGACACACAGCACAAGAGAACAGACCTGGAGCATTTTTGAGAGGGTGCAAAATACGTTACAAGTCTTACAACTATGTTTTATACTCATAAAAGTGCAAAACAAGGTGAAATGATGTTTAATACATCTGAGCGTCCTGTGCTAAACTACAGGCTGTTTTTGAGTAATTGCTTTAAATATATGTTTCAGTAGGTAGAGTGGGTTGTCAAATTGCATCATTCCATTATACACAGACAAAATATAAGGTAATGCTGTTCTCTTGCAACACAGTGTTTATAAGCTCCTACACAATCTAATGTTTATAAGTATATACACCTCTTGTACTCACTCACGCAAAATAAATTATCCATGCATGCTGTATATCATGTCTATCTGTGGACAGAAACTTGCTTATATATCTAAAGCTACTCAGAAACTACGCAAAAAAAGACAAGGAGAATGACATAAAACTCCAAGGAAAATCTTTCATTTACTTTTGCAAGTAGTAACAAATATATTAACAACAAGCTGGGGCAATTTGGGCTTTTCAGACTAGTTGTAGTGTCATAGCAACTCCTTTTTTTTGCTTTTATGAATCAGTCTTCAAGTCTGTTGATGACTAGGTTCCACTGAACTTGACCATGCAAAAAAAACCAACATACCACTGGCCCCGTGTGTCTGAAAGAATGTGCAACCAATAAACAATACATATTTTACAAGAATGAGACAATTTGTGTTGCCATCATTTTGTAGCATACAGATGCTCACCAGTCAAAAAGGCAGGCAAACCAGGGGATGGGTTCAATGTCCCACTCCACTTGGAGACCCTTTTTCACACCAACTTCAAACAAAGTATGGACAAAGTGTTTTTGAGGGAAGAAGAAAAGAATCAAAGCATTTCCTTGGGTGTCTGCATCTCGACATTCACATTGCAAATACTTTGTTTCTTTTTTTTTTTTTCTTGGATTTTCATTCCTTCATTCTCACTAGCAAATACAGGGGAAAAATGTGTTTCGTAAGAAATCCACCAAAGACTGTTTCTCTGTCCACTCCTTCTGAAGGAGCTACTGAGGTCTACACATCTGCTCAGTAAAAACAGACTGCCAATGTGGAAAGAAAAGTGGCACTCAGTCAAAAAAAACAAACCTTCTTTCACCTAGGAGTACAATTTTAATACCTCGTTCATCGCTTAGTCCCAGCTGTCCTGAGCTGTTCTTTCCCCAGCCAAACACAGCTCCTGAGAGAGAGAGGGCAAAACTGTGGGCTCCACCTGCAGCAACCTGAGCCAAAGGGATCCCATCAAGAGACTTGACACGCTGTGGACTTGCTTGGGAGGGACACTCTTTCCCCAGGCCCAACTGACCATAGCTGTTCTGTCCCCACGTGAAGAACTGGCCATCTGAAACAAAGAAAGAAAGAGGATAGTGAATAAAAGCTAGTCAACAGAAAAGCAAATTTGTCAAACTAAACAAGTACTAGTGCTGGGGGCTTCTCTCCCACCCAAACCTCATGATGGAAAAAGCAAGCAAGACATTCTTTACTGAAATATAAGCCCAGTCTGGAGCCACAAGGTAAATACACCGATGCATAACCAAGTGCAAAATACCATATCAGACTGCTGTAACTTAAGCTGTGTAGAATGGTCCACATGTTGCTTTCAGAAAGGGAACAGCCAAGGATAATTTTGACACAAAAGAACTAATTCCATACATTTGTCTACAAAATAATGCCTCCTCTTTTTTTATTACGTTGGCACATGATGTCAGAGGCAGATGTTGGTAGTAGGGAAGGAGAGGCTGAACCTTCCTGCCAATATTCCCTCACATTTTGTTGCTGCACAACAGATGGCAGCAGAGGGAAACTCTGACAAAATGGTGCCTGACATGGAAGTGTGGATGAAGTAAACGTGAGAAACTGAATTCCTCCATGCAGAAGAAATTGCACCCACTGACATTCATCAACACTTGCTGAACATTTATGGATACCAAACAGCAGATGTGAGCACAGTGAGGTGGTAAGTGGTGCATTTCAGCAGTGTCCACAGCAACAATGAGTCAACTCCACTGGTGCAGATTTTTACAAGCATGGCATACAGGCTCTTGTTTATTGCTGGTGAAAATGCATAGCTATTGGTGGTGACTACACTGAAAAATAGCTTTTTGTGACTGAAAATTTGCTCTGTCAAATAGTATTATTGTGCTCTTTATATCTGTTGTAGTTTTCGTGAAAATAATTAAGAGGCATTATTATTTTCCATCAAGATGGAAAGCTGTTAAGTGGTCGTGCCATCATTAAACAGTGAGGCAGTGGGTGGCCTGTGTGTAATGTTTCCCTTCTTGACAGTGTTGGCAACACTCTTCTACAATATATGTGGTACCTGATCTACTTCATTGTCTTCCATTTGTCCTGAAAACAGTTGTCCTTGGAAATATGCCATCTTGGACATGAAGCAAAACAAGAGCAGAAATCTTAGTAATAAATAATGAATACTACCATACCTGCTGCCAAAGCCAGGCAGTGCCAGTTTCCACAGGAAATCTGCAGTATGGTCTGTTGGTTCAGTTTCTTTATCAGCCTAAAGATGATGACATTATTTTAGAATAATCATCAACAAATACAGTAGCACATTAGGTGAAATTATCATTTCCATTTGGGTATTTGTTCTAGACAGACATACAACCTGTAGTTTTGAGAAGAGGAACAGAATCTTGGAGGTAATACTGATCACAGATGCCAATCTATGAAGAGCTTTGCACATCGGACTACTAACTCCCTGTTTTTACTATATAGAAAGACTCTTTTACTATAATGAAGACTCTAGACATCTGAGAATGGTGAAAAAAATCTGGTCTCTCAGCATCTCTCTTAATATTCTTTTTCAGGCATTGACATTTTTCATGTCATTTATGCCAGGAGCACAGAAGCTTCTAAGAGCAACAGCACCATAACCTCTTCATTGCATTGCACAGAGAATAGCAAATCAAGGTTCAAGTTATTTCACAAAAATGTTATTTTTAAAATCGCACTATCGCACTGGCATCTCAGCCTGTCTCTCTTTTTTATATCAGATCTGCCAGCAAGTAACAAGCTTTCTTCTCAGAGAGCCCTTCAGATCAAACAAACAATTATGCTTTAGCAACTGAAACTCTTTTTCTTTAAATACTGTCCCATGAATGACAGCCACCCTAGACACATGTCCCAGACCTCCTCTTCTAGTTCTACACTGGATATATAGTTGCAGCCAGAATAAGAGACAGAAGACATCTGTTATTAACATAGCATGATACAACATCATTAACTACAAACAGACCAGTTATCTTTAGTATGGTAGTGAGCTGAGGCCTATAATCTGTGAACTGCTTTGGATGGAGGAGTCTTAGTGTCTGCCACCGTCCCCAGCACCATTTACATACCCTTATTCTTAACACTGTTACTGCTCTGAGACTGGTAAAATGCATTAAGCAAGTCAGTGAAGAAAACTGAGCACTTCCCTAACATTTCTGAGCAATATTCACTGTTCAGAATTGCAATGGGCTGGTTTAGCAGCATTCCTGATAAACAAAAGATACAATACAAACAGTGCAAGAATTCCAGAGCCGAGGCAACACTTCACCTGTCCATATTTTTTGCCCATTCTTGAAATATGGCTCCTATCTCAGAGATACAATGCAATACAAACATACCACATAGCATTTCTATTTTGGGGTTCTCCCTCATGTACCTCCTGTCCCGTAGAAAACACTGTCATATTTTTCATTGAGGAAGCTGTACTTGCTCTAACTTTCTTCTCTGTGCCTCGAGCACCAAAGATCAGAAGGGCTATCCTAACTGGACTTCTTCAGAACTTGTCTAGTACTCACGGAACGCTGAGAGGGAAAAGGAGGACTGTCAGGCTTGTACTGGTAAGTGGCAAGTGCCCAATTACCAGCTCTTTAAGCAAGAGCAACACTTTCACCAACTCTAGGCTGCAAAGTGAAAAGCCCCTGATACAATACTTCCAAGTGGGTGCCATAAGGAAACCCAAACCATTTAAAGATTTACCTTGGTACTGTCACTGCATCTTCAATCGTGGTGAGGCCCAGCTGTCCATCGCTGCCTGCGCCCCAGGAGAAGACCTGGCCCTGGTCACTGAGTGCCACACTGTGGGACTCTCCGCAGGCCACGTGCACTATGTGCTGCCCTGCCAGGGCTCCAATTAGTTCTGAGAAAAAAACACAAAAACACTTCCATCACAGAACTCGTCTCATACCTACGTGCAGATGGCAGGTCTGTGATTCGTAAGCAAAGCCTTCAGATAGGCTCAGTGATGCCCAATTTAGTTATAAAACACTTCCTACACAAGAAAAGCACCAGACTTTACTGAAAATGTGTGGCTGCTGAGTTCTTCTAAAACCCTGACCAGTAAATTGTAGGATAAAGGCAGGTACACGTCCTCAAGCACAGCAGTCTATGCGCAGCCTCAAAGGTACATGGAATCAAACAGACTTTCCAGATTTGATGTTTTCTAACTCAGTCTTGATGTAGGGATCAGCATGGACTGTGAAGTTTAAAAACCCTGTAAAATACATTTGGCGTTCCACACCTCATATGCCTAATGAAGACAAGTCATCCAAAAAAGTTAATCAATCCAGTTTTCTCTTGCTTTTCTTCTTGATGGATGAAAACAGACATATTACAACACCCCCTGGTGCTAAGCTTGGAAGAGCTCCAAACCTATCAAACTACTACTATTTCTATCACAGTAAGAAGTTCACAAAAAGAATAATGTAAAAAGAAAGAGGACCTTACAGAAGAGTAAAAGCAAAAAAAAAAATCTTCCACTGGAAGATTGCCCACAATTTATTTTTCATTATTATGTCATCTTAAGCAATTGAAATAGGTTTGACAACTACTCTTACAACACCAACAATCAAAATTTTATTCATTATGCAGACTTTCTACAAACAGACATGAAAAAGTGCTGCCTTGCAGCAAAGCACCGGAAATAGCACACATCTGATGGAAAAAGTCCTCACAAGCCAAACAGGAGAAAAGTTGGAATTTTTCTTCCCTGAAAAAATGTTTCAGAGTAGACAAAGAAAGATTCACTCTGTGCTACAAGGCAATGATTAGCTTTATTAAAAGTCCCACACTGATGTTCCACTTACCATTCTGTGAAATGACACCCCACATCAAGGGCACCTAGATATGTATCATTAACATACCTGGCACCAATTCAGCACACAGATCAATTTAAATGTCTTAAATCAATTTAAAGGGGACGATTCCTAGGCACTCGTAGGAAGGTTTGCCTTCTAAGTCTGAAAGTGTGAAAATGGGAAGTAAATTAAGCCTTAAAACATGTTATGGGTGAGAAAGGTGACAATTCTTTAAACACATATTTTCTACACAAACAAAACGTTACATCAACATGCACTTCCTTGCACTCAATTAAAAGCCATGGAGGCGTAGTTGATAGGCAGTGATCCCACAACACTCCAGAAGGCCCTGAAGCCTGGGTCCATTTGCCTCCCCACCATCCAATTCAACTGCTTGAGGGCTGAATGAAGAGTATTCGCCAGAAAAGACTGAGGCAAAAAAGTAGCTGAGTACCTCAGCCTTCTCCTTCTCTGTTGTTATGAGCCTGCCTGTACTGCTCACTGTGGAAAGAATACAAAGAATACATCTTATACATCTTCTTGGACATACTTTTTTCTGGTTGATGAACCTGCAGAAGCCTTTCTTGCTCTTCTTTGCTCCACTTGTGAAATCCAGATTCAGTTGGGCCTTAACCTTCTTGACCTCATCCCTACACAGCTCAGCAGCATCCTTATACAATTCCCAGAGTACCTGTCCCTGCTTCCATGCCTGTGCAATTTCTTCTTGCTCTCCAGTTTGACCAGTAGGCTCCAGTCCAGACACACCAGTCTATTACCTTCCTTTCCTGACTTCCTTCCCTTGGGGATGAAGAATCCTTCTGAACTAAGCCTCCTTAAAGATCTGCCAGTTCTGCTTCGCTCCCTTATCCTTGAGGACAGTTTACCAGGTTTTGTTGACTAACTCCCTGAAGAGCTGGAAGTTGGCTTTCCTAAAATTTACTCTTTGTCACATATCCCTCAGGATTGTGAACTTCACTATGTGATCCCTGCAGCCCATACAGCCTCCAATCCTGATATCACCAATAAGTATACCTGTACTGGTGCGTAGCAGGTTCAGTATTGCAACTTCCATGGTCAGGCTGTCCATTACTTCACTCAAGAAGTTGTCCTCGATGCATTCCAGGAGTCTCCTGGATTGCCTACAGCTGACAGTGCTACTTTTCCAGCAGAAATCAGGGTGGTTGAAGGCCCCCAGAAAGATGTGAGTCTGCAATTAGGATACATCCTGTAGCTGGAGAACAGTGGAATCAACAGGCTCCACTTGATCAGGCAGCCTGTAGTAGACATCAACTACAAGGCTTCCTTTGTTGCCTTGATCTCTTAACTTTCACCCACAATTTACACATAAGCATCGCCTGGTGGCCTGTTTTGTATTCATTTGCATATATAATTTAGGGATCCTATTTTTAAACATGAGCTCTGAACAACCAGCACCTTCAAGGACCAGTCAAGGTCAATCACAAACAACTTAAAAGACATCTCAAGAGCAAATGTGGCTACGGTCTCCTCCTTTCAGTGAGAGAGCTGGCTCTTTCAGACATGGAAAAAGCTGAGGTACTCAACCAGTGCTTTGCCTCAGTCTTCAGGAGTGGTCAGGCTTCCCATGTCTGCCAGCATCCTGAAGCTCTAGGTGAGGGTGTGGGGAGTAGATTCTGTCCCACTGTAACAGTGGAACAAGTCCAAGACGTCCTCATGTAATTGAATGATATCCATCCTAGGGTTCTGAGAGAGATGGCTGATGTGGTTGCTGAGCCACTCTCCATATTTGAAAAATCATGGCTGTCAGGTGAAGTCCCTGGTGACTCGAAAAAGGGAAACATTACTCCCATTTTTAAGAAAGGGAGAAAGGATGATTCAGGGAACTACAGGCTGGTGAGCATCACCTTTGCACATGGGAAGATTATGGAGCATGTTCTTCTAGAAGTATACATAGAAGCTATTTCTATTTCTACCATATATTTCATACATATCTTCTATTTCCAAAAGCTATGTTAAGGCACATAAAATACAAAGAGGTGATCCAAGACAGCCAGCACAGCTTCACCAAGGGTAGATCATGCCTGACCAATATGCTAGCCTTCTGCGATGGAGTGACAGCACCAGTGGACAGGAGAAGGGCAACAGATATCATCTTTCTGCACTTCTGCAAAGCCTCTGACATGGTCCCTCACCTCTAAATTGGAGAGGTATGGATTTGAAGGATAGATTGTTTGATGGATTGGGAATTGGCTGACTGGTCGCAGCCGAAGGGTTGTGATCAGTGGTTCTATGCCAGGGTGGAGGCCAGTCATAAGCAGTGTCCCTCAGGGGTCAGTGCTGGGACTGGTGCTCTTCAACATCTTTATCAATGACACAGATGATGGCACCAAATGCACCCTCAGGCAAGTTTGCAAATGACACCAACCTGAGTGGTGCAGTCGATACACTGGAAGGAAGGGAAGCCATCCAGAGGGACCTGGACAGGCTGAAGAAGTAGGCCCATGAAAACCTAATGAGGTTCAACAAGGCCAAGTGCAAGGTGTTCAACCTGGGTTGAGGCAATCTCCTTGAGAGCAGCCCTGCAGAAAAGAACTTGGGGATCCTGGTGAACGAGAAGCTGGATGTGAGCTAGCAGTCTGCGCTTGCAGCCCAGAAGGTCAACTGTGTTCTGGGCTGCATTAAAAAAGAGGTGGTCAGCAGGGAGATGGAGGTGATTGTCCCCCTCTGCTCAGCTCCTGTGAGGCCTCATCTGGAGTACTGTGTTCAGGCCTGGAGAACCCAGCAAAATAAAGACATGGAGTTCATGGAATGGGTCCAGAGGAGGGCCACTAAGATAATCACAGGGCTGGAGCACCCCTCCTATGAACAAAGGTTGAGAGAACTGGACTGGTTTAGCTTGGAAAAGAGAAGGCTCTTGAGAGACCTCATTGTGGCCTTCCAGTACTTGAAAGGAGCATATAAACAGGAGGGGGAAAGACTGTTTACGAGGGTGGACAGTGATAGGACAAAGGGGAATGGTTTTAAATGAGACAGGGGAGGTTTAGGTTAGATATTAGGAGGAAGTTTTTCACACAGAGGGTGGCGACACACTGGAACAGGTTGCCCTAGGAAGTTGTAGATGCCCCATCCCTGGAGGCATTCTATGATTTTATCAGAAAAACAGAAACATCATATCCGCTACTGCACCTGAAGGAACTGGAGCACCTTGGGGAGATGGCAAAAGACTCTTTTAATGACCTCCCATCCCTTTCTTTTTTCAAAACATGAAGTGCTTTGTTAGTTGGTATAAATTTTTGTTATTTTCCAGAGTGTCACAGCATTATTATTCTTTCCTTATAAATGACGCATCACCATATTCAGATGAAGGGTGCAACAAGTGAATTTTGTTCTTGGTATTGTGACTTCAGTATAAAACTGAGCAGAACAAAACCCTGGGAGCAACTAGGAAGGACTGCAGGAGATGTGCAATGGTGTTTCAACATATCATAAAACTCAGAAAAACAAGTTCCAAGAAGTACGCACTGACCCAATCTTTTATTTCTGAAACCATCAGCTGTTTTAATATAGCACCAACACTCAGAAATCATTCATCAATTCTTCATATCTGGAGGAGCTCCCATTTTCACTTCTTTTTTCTGTCCATTTTCTGTCAGCATAAACAGACATATCAAGGTTTGACTTCTATTAATCTCAGCCTTGTCAGATCTCATCATAAAACAAAAATGGATAAAAAATTGAGGTCTACACAAAACTCCTTCAGGACAGCACTCCTCTGAATCATGACAAGCATGGTTCCCAGGACTATTTTCCTGCCTGTCTGTGGACTGCAGGCACGCTCCATCCAGCAAAAGCTGAAAACAGGTGGTAAACGTTTTTGTAACACAACTCTTGACAGCACTGGAAACTGTAGTAAAGCAAGGCAAAGACTTAAAAACCCTTGAAAAACCCATCTTCAGATTATAGCTTCTCAATTTACAGAAGAGGGCTCATGCTTTGTCCCCATGATGTTGAAAAGCTATGCTACACGATCTTCAGTGTCTAACATTACTGGAAGCACAATGCACTCAATTACATGGCACTGGTT